TTGTGTTGGTCAAGGCCGTGGTCTAGGCAACACGGGGTTTTCCTCCGTGGCATCCCAACAATTACTCCATTCACACACAGAAGAAGGCAATGGCAAACCACTTCTGGATCATCTGCCAAGAACGTATATGAACAGGTCCCAGTCCGAGAAGAGGATGGAAGGATCCTGTTCATATGGACCTGTCGTCAGACAGAACACTAAATAATAATAATAACTTGCCCGGTATACGTTTACGTTCACTCCATACACATCGTGAACGAATTACAATAGCCCAATATCAACAAGCGTGTTCGTACCAAGCCATAATTTATATTTTACATGTTATGTTGCGTTCCACTACTTCATCAATTTGTATTTCGCGCAGTCGCCATGTTACTACCCCAAAACTAGCAGTACTAAATATTTTAGTTCTTTCACAGATCTACCATCATACATAACGTCAATACCTTGGGCGTAACTGAAAATATAATAATAAAATTGATCTTCGAGGAACAGTATATAAGTGTGTGGGTTCATCTGCTCATTATATGGACCAATGGCTGACTTTTGCCTTTCGCTCACGGCCCATAAGTTATTAACCATTCACAGCCCCCCCACCCCCCATAAGGCATGTTCACATGAGTTTAGCGCAAAGACGAGATACTGGATCGAGATGCAATTTTCTTTTGTTATTCGAGACGTGTAAACACGCACTTAAGTACGCATTGGCTTCTAAATAAATAATTATAAATGGATATAGTCCCGGTGTTGTTAAACGGACACAATCTTCTGTATTGAGAACTCGTCTCGATGAATGAATACAAAGTACGATTATCCAGGAACTCGTTCAGGTTACCCGTCTTGGCACTAAGCCCGCGTGAACAAGACTTTGCTTGCAGCAAAGTTGTTTGGTTGCTCACTTAAGGGAATGTTGATTTCGAGCCCCTACAAGGCAAGACAAGCTGAACGGGATCTCCCAGGTTTTTGCTATCACATGAACAGTGATTTATCTGAAACTCCCAGAAGCTGGCATTTCCTTGAGCACTTGTTCTTCGGAAAGAGACGCCTCCAACCACAGGCACTGAACATGTACCTTCGTGAGGTGACGTTTCTGAATATCACTGTCTCTCCTATCTATGATTGCTCTCACTCTTGGACAACGCTAAAGGTTTATAGATAAAGCTGTATCCGGCACTTAACAAAGCACCACGCTATGAAGACGAACAGGGGAATGTAGGTATAGCTCCACTCAATCTCAAACTCGGCAACTGGTTAGCTTCACGCCCCGGCCGCTCCCACCCCCAGCCCGGAGGAAATTAACCCAGTAACCATTACAGAGGAGGCTCGGTGGGTCCCAGAGCCGGTCTGGACGTTGTGGCGAAGAGAAAAATTGATAACTCGCCTTGATGATGAAAGACATCAAGCACCTATGAAACGTCGGAACAATACTACTAGAACATAGCCATTTTGAACACGACGGTGTTCACGAAACCCCGTTAATGGCTCCTACCCTGAGCGAGATGGATCTTGTTCATATAGTCCATTTTAATATTATTTTCCTTTCAACAACTGAAAGACTTTCTACAAGTATTAAGTAGGCTTGTATAAACTATCGCTCGAATACAGACAATTCATTGTATTTCTATTAAAAACTGTTAAAACAATTAAAAGATTGTCCAATCAAACAGATACAGCGACTAACGAAATCTTTTGACGAAATATCATTAAAAAAAATCTGCACCCTTTAGACTGCAAGCACGACACGCATGGCAGAGAAGTTGCCGTCGCAGCAAGGCGCTCACAAACAAACTCCATCGAGAAGAGTCCCTCCATCTCAAAAAAACTAACAATCATTTAGCTAGTCAAAAAATCCCCCGTCATATTATGGAACCATAAAGCTCACAAGAACCCCCACCGGCCCCTAGACCCTGCCACACCCACACAAATCCAATCTACCCCCTCCATTCAAATGTCTAGTAATTTATTTTAATGATCCCTACATTCCCCGCCAAAAACCGCAGAACACTGCTATCTGCAAACACTTATTAACATTTTAGACCACTGTCAGTGATGTAAACGCACTTCCAAACTACGTGTATTCCGACATGGAGTACACATTTCCGCACTTGTTGTGTTTCAGAACGAAAACACCAAGTTTTACACCGCAGTCCGTGAAGCAGTATCAATTTCGCATTATTAACACATTTCCTTATTTGGCATAACACAAGGTGTCTGCAAACCCACGAAGCCCGATTTCTTGGTATTCCGGCGAACGTCAATGAATATTATCAAGATGTGATCCGAGCAGACCTGGAATTCAAGCGTCACATTCTGACACACAGGGAACGCCAGGCTATATAGCACGTACGGGATTCAGGTCAAGTCACGAGACGGGCTCCTATTCGCAAAACTCTGTGGCCGAATTCCCACACCACACAATACAAGAATCGGAACACCTAGTTTCCAGCCTCGTTAAATAAATTTTTATGACATCGTTCGTATCGGAAACTCTTATCTTGGATTTGAGGTTTTCACGGCGGTAAAGATGTCGGCCATGTTCTTCCTGGCTGTGAAACCGGGGCCCGTGTAGTTGATTAAAAAGTCTGTTTACATCTGTAGGAAGACAAATATATTTCTCATGGTGAACTTACGATTACAACACGGCACAACTGGTTAAATGAATAAGATAGTGTAATTGCGTCATCGTATCGGAAACTCTTATCTTGGATTTGAGGTTTTCACGGCGGTAAAGATGTCGGCCATGTTCTTCCTGGCTGTGAAACCGGGGCCCGTGTAGTTGATTAAAAAGTCTGTTTACATCTGTAGGAAGACAAATATATTCCTCATGGTGAACTTACGATTACAACACGGCACAACTGGTTAAATGAAGTTAGTGGCCAATGTCATAGTCACGTGGCACACATCACATGCGCCACACAGGGCTCGTGTGTGAGCACACGCACTTTTAAATCACCCTGTACATTTGAACACAAGTCAAATAACGAAACGCTTCAGGTAAGACTAACAACTTCAAATGAGCCAAGTATTATACGTGTGTATATTTTGTGGCGGGATTAGTTGTTGCTGAAACGTCTGATGAAAATGAAACAAAGAAAAAAATATACAGAAATCAAAAGGTAGAAGCAAAAATGGAGAAAATAACAAAAATCGGGGACAAAGAAAGGAGGAAGAAATGATAAGAAAATTAAAAATTAGTAATTGAATTAAGAGTTTATAACATACACCTGATGACGGCTCTATGAAAGCCGAAACATGTCGAGAATGTTACATATGTAAATCGAGTACTCGATACGGAACAAAGGATAATATTTTAACCATTTAATTATCTTATATTACTTTATTGTGATTGACGGACAATTTTAATATATATATATTTTAATAATATTTTTGCTTATTTAACTTAAATTAGTTACGCTTAAGATGGGTTTGTGGCAGATGAATGTAATGAAATGTTTTATAGGTAACAACTATGCCGAGTAAACAGATGAGGTTTCCTAAGTAACATAACAATTAAGTTACACTTTTTCTTTTCACTTTTTGCCGAATGACACTGATCCTAAAATATAGACGTATTTACGTCAAACAAATTTTCTCTCCGAAGTTCTCCGTCTGTTTTTGACGCATACAGTCACGTGACTGTCAAGGTTCATACCCCCCATATTCAATCGACTGCTGTCAAGTGACCTGCGTGTGATCAGCAGTTGATGACGTCTCCTTATCGACCGTACACAGCAAGGATAATAATTGTTGGTTTTTCTTCTCTGTTGCCAGCGGCGACATTAAAATCTAAAGATTTGCTTCATGTAACAAGTGGACAGATGAAATATAGAGAAAAGTCAACCAAACAAGGAAGGTTATGACGTCATGTCGGGAAGTGGTCTGGGCACTTTGTGACTGGAATTCCCGCAGAGTGAGAGAGACAGTGGATGTGCTGGCAAACTTCACAGAGTAACTGTCCCCTCCTACTTCATCACAGTTGTTATATTTGTAGAGGAGGGGATATTTCAACTTCACACCTTCTGACAAACCCCCCCCCCCCCTTCCGAAAGATGACTACAACCCGCCAGCAGTACACTTCTACACTTCCGTCAAGAAGGACCGACAGTGAAAACCGCTCCACAGAACAGACCGACCAAAGGACCCAAGTCTTGTAATCGTCATGGAAACAACGTTGTTTCATATAACAGGTACGTGTTGTGGGTGTTTATATTCAGTATAGAACATTTCGAAATCTGTCACAGCAGTTTACTATTTCCATATAGACTTTTTTTTTTAAAAAAAAAAGAATTTAACGACGTCTATTTCCATAGAAACTCACGACTTTCTTGGATTAAAGTCACAGGTATGGGATGTCATGTTGGTCTTCTGGGTCGGAAAACGGCGTGGACTTGTAGACACGACACCAAAGTTTCGGAGTCACATACTGCTTCCAATTTCAGCACTGAAATTCGAAAGATTCCACCAAAACGTCGATATCGTCACATGGCCTTACAACACAAAGACCAACAATGACACCTGTGAACCTCAAATCTCACACACATATGAGGTGTTTAGTACATAATTTCGCTAACTATTTAAAACACGGTGCTTAAACACATGCACTGCCTACTTTAAAATTCAGTAACTCTGTGTTTTTCCTACAGAACGCACTTGTTTCGTATGATTCTCAGAACAACATAGATTATTTCCTTAAATAGCATTAACCAACCGATCACTGCCATGGAGACGTGTTGTTTTCTGTGAGGTAGGAACTTAATTTTTAAATATTTAGATGAGCTCCGTGTTTCATGTGGGTGAAACCGCTCTGGTTATTTCAAGAGACACTTTCAAACAGCTAACATAGCACAGTTTTATACTCAGATCCTCTGAATCGATACATTCACTACTTTGCACCATTGCAACATACGGATTTTTGATGTCGGCGGCTAGAAACATGTCTGTCAACTTTTCATTCCTCGACAATTAAAATTTCAGAAATTTAATTAAAATATAGATTATTACATAATTCTTTGGAAAGTTTCCATAGGCTGGATCTTTGGAGGCAAGCACTAAAAATTAAGAAATATTAATTTATTTGGTATCCCATTTTTACGTATTTGTTTAAAGAATTGCGGAACCATCAAATATCGCATGTGATATGCAAATGAACTGTTTTGTATGCGAACGAAGTTCAGCTGCTCATTCCAATGCCATCACTGCGTTCAAACAGCCTCTTAAACTCTCTATAGTCTTATGGTAACTATATGTCCCACCGGCTTCAATAATCAATAAATGTTCATTTTGTATTTACACGTCTCGTATGATTCTCACTGTGACTAGTGATTATTTCCTTAACATTAACCGATCGATGTTTGTAATGGGTTAGAGTTGTTTTCTTTGCGGTACGGACTGATTTTTTTAAACATTACTTAGAGGAGCTGCGACTGGAAGGGATAGGCACGTCGTGACACATCAATATTCTTTGTAAAGTCTGTCCACACTTCGTTTATGACTTTAAAAATACTATAAACAAGTGGGCAAGGCCTGTTCACGAGCCAAAGAGCTTACAAAGTCTAAAATCACACATTGGTTCAACCACAAGCCATGAAACGTAATCTGAACCACACTCAGCATATTACTAAGTACTTTACGGCGTGTTCTGTTCTAAGAAACACTGTGTGTACTTCCTGACTGAAAGTCAACAGGAGGTTTGCACTTTACCGCTACATGCTCAGCAAGTATTTACGTTCATTCCACAGTCATCAGAAGAGAAGTCTCGATTCTCACTCCGTAGAAGCCGCGGGCGCTGTTTCAAACCAGAGAAAATCTCAAGGCCTCTAATACAGACATGAACTATAAACAAAATGCATGGAACACATTCCTTCTTGAGAAGGCGCAGAATAGCATAATTCTCCTATTACATACGATTTATGAAACACTCTGTATACAGTACAAAAGCTAATTTCGAACGTGTATTAGATACGTCACTGAATGGAAGCATATAAAAATACCTGTAAAATAATTATAACCTGGAGACACAAAATAGAATGAAATAGCTCCAGATAAGAGTCCTCTATGGCGGGCTTTTGTGACCACGGTGACGAAACGCCTGGTTCCGCAAAAAGCGTAATTT